TTTCTTTCATTAATATTTGTAACTAGGGATGTCGCTGTTAACTGCTTATTATGGGGAGAGACTGCAATACAAACATATTGGGCCAAGCAGGATGACATGGACCCACCAATTATTGTATTGATGCAATTTGCTAGGATCAGTGTGAAAAATGGTTTTGCACGCCTTAACTTTCCTTACTCTCTTATTTATTTAGCTTCTCATCAGTTCTTTACTTTTATGATCTATACTTTTTAGTCCATCTATGAAATGTCTTCCAAGTGCTTCTGCTATTTCTTATCTTTGCTGTGCTATTTCTATATGATTCCTTTATTGATTAATATAAATTTTAACTAGGAATTTTGCAACTGTCAAACTCCTACACTGCTACTAGGATCACCTTTAACCCTGACATTCCAGAGGCAAAGGACCTACTTGAAAGGTGTAATGCCTTTCATTCTGCTGTTATTATTTCTAACTACAATATAATAATGCTCTCCATTCTAATAACAGCAACAACAAGAATAATAATTAATTGAATTGAAATGTTTCCATATTGCATAGGCTTCAACAGTCAACAAACACATCATCTTTTAGCTTTACACAAACAATTAGTGTGAAACAAGTCAAAATTCTTCCCTTTCACTTCTACAATTTCCTGATAGATTCCCAATATCACATGTTGCTCATATTGACGAGGTTATATTTCTTTTACTATTAACTTTCCTACTATCTTGTACTTCCATCTTTGTCAACTTCTTACTAATTCATAATATCTAGGAAAAGGAATTTCTGATTAAGGGAACCATCAAGAAACTACAAATAGGAAATGGTTGGACTTATGATGGTTGTGACATCTGCACCAGCAAACCAATGGAGTAAAACAATAAACAATTTTGCAATATCTGTAATCGGAGCATAACCAATATTAGCCCAAAGTATGGAAGAGCAACATTTCAACCTTTATATACTATTGCTGTAAACCGAACTTTCCTAACAACTCTTTTTCATTTAACAGATTTCGAATCCACTACACCATCTCTGATGCCTCTGGATATATATCAGTTGTCTTCTTTGATAGACATGCTGTGGAACTACTCCACACAACCGCTATTGTTCTAAAAAATGAATTGATAGAGGTTGATCTCATACACATTACAATCTTTATCCTTTAATTTAGTGTTACTGGATTTGTTCCAACAGCTTTATTTTTTTCCACCATGTTAACTTTAAAGCAAGCAAAGTTGCATTCCTTTCCCAAGCAACTTAATTCTCTGGTTGGAAGAACTATGGTCTTGAAGGTCAAAGTAACAAAGTACAATATTCAGCACCGCATGACCAGTCTAAGTGTGTCTCAGTACACAGAGAATGAGAACTTGCTTTCTAAGTTTACCTACACAATTGAACAGGTTTGATGCACCTAAATTTTTGAACTCTTTTTTACATGTGTTCATCTCATTTGCTGTTACTAACTTTTACACATTACTGCATTTTAACCAATTGTAATCCCCTAAGGATTCTGATGGCGACAAAGCTCTCAAACAAGAAGTTTGTTATAACACATTCATTTCTAATTGAACGAAATCCTCCTTTATAGGAAATGGCTCCTTCATTCATTGCAAATTCTGCTGATAACTTGCAATAGATTGCTTCTTCACAAGTTTCAGACACAATGTCATTCAAGACAACACCAACACAATCCACTGCTTCTGCTGACCAAGATACAGCACATGAGCAAGGAGAAAATGATGACATGCCAATTGCACAGCTGTTCACTACTCCAACAACTAAGGGAAAGAAAAGACATGCTGTCAAGAAAGAAACTTCAAAAGATCACTGCCCAGGCATCTCAGATATGCCAACACCTTCTTTCTCCACAACCAAGCCACGCAAAACAATCAAGCAAGAGAAGATATATTAGACAAATTAGACACTACTTCCATGAAATATATTTTGTCTATGCCTCTAAATTTCAATTCAGTTGCTTAAGTTTCTCAATTGTACTGTTCTTTTTTTTTTTAATCTAAGGCCTTAGGACTTAACTTTGTTTCTTTATGTTTTCCATCTGTAATATGCCTTCTTCTTTTTTTCAGTTACTTTGAAGTTCAACAAGCAATGAAATTTTCTTCACTTTTACCACGACTGCTTCATCTCATTTCAGTACATCCATTCTTAAATTTCTTATTCTTTTTATTTCCATTGTCCCTGTAATCATATTTTCTTAACAAGTTAATTAAGTTAATCTTTTAACACCTGCATTAATATAGAAAAAAATCATATCCAACTATCAAACAAATTAATACCATTATTATATTGTCAAATTGCTGTCGAAAATTGCCTAAACATATATGGATCAGCAAAGAGACAAAACAATTATCAAATGCATTCTCTTAAAATAAATATCATCATTAAAAATGAACAAGTAATCCCATCCTTGCATTAATAACTTGTCACATATTCACATAATATATTCACTTTTCCTAACAGCAAAAATTATGTCTGTTCTACTAACTTTCTGACAACATATTAACAATAAACTCAACAAGTCCATGCACAAATTTCAAAGAAAATAAACTATGAATAAAAGTTCACATTGTCCAATACTTCAACTATCACTGTGTCATCTGAACAGGTTATCTAAAATAATAACTTGCCTCAACTGCTTTTCCAAGTTTCAATAAAATCAAATATGTTTAGTCCTGTCATAGGTTTTCCCCCTATTTCTAATTCATTCTTTCTGTTTCTTACTATTTCCTAAATGTATTCAATGTTTGTAGCTATCGCCTAATATCCAGATTACACATTCATTTCCTACTGCTATTGTTCAATAGCATACAACTCCAGACCCCTTCAGACATTAAGAACAAGAAACTTCATGTGCATCATTCTTTGCTTCCCAGCTCAACTTCAACTTTAACCACACGAAAAAGGTCACTTCTTCTTAGATTTCTTCTTACCTATTAGGTTCCTAGGTTCCTTCTCCATAGCATACTGAAACATCTTGGGGCTATATCTACTTCATAAAATTTAAAGCAACTTATTTTTGGAATCCAATGACAAGAAGAATTAACAGCAAAAGATTTCAACTCTTGGAAAATGACTATCAGTCAACCTTTGTGCAAGTAAGGGACGAATGCAATGCACTTCAAGACATAACCAACCATCAAGGTATGCTAAAAATTTTCAAAGCCTCTCCTTCTTCGTAGCTTTCTGATAATTGATCTTGCACTTTAGGAAGAGCAATGTGTGAAGATCTAACAGTCAAAATCACTCCAATTAAGAGTGTCAGATTTTGGAATTTAAAACAATCAAAAAATCATGTCAATTGCACCCAGGTTAGAAATTAATTTCTCTTATAAATGTCCCAAAAAGTAAAGACTTCAATCACTTCAGTCATGTTCTTTGAAAAGTCATTTCATTTCTTTTACATTTTATACACTACAGTAGCAAAGAAACAAAAAAAACATACCTCCTCCAGATTCACTTCACCAAATAGTTTTCCACCAAATCATCTTCCAGACAGAGTGCATAACAGCATAGGGTCGTCCCATTAAATTACAACAATTATTGATTCAAAAATTGGCACTTCATCTCCTCCATTAAAGTTTCAATTACCATTCCCCACAGGTATCTATCTTTCATGTCTAACTTCCATTAACTTATTACCATGCATTCAAATATATGTTCATATTAGTCTCTTATATTATTAGTCATACGAATATCCAACCAAAGTATGCCACCTTGTCTCTTTAGCAATTTCTCTCAACTTTGACAGATACATCCGCAGATCCATTTAACCATAATGACACAGAAAGTAAAAACAGTGATGATAATAAAGCCAACTTATCTCAAAAATCACAATTTGTCACAGGTGATATATCTACTTGCTTTTAGAATTCCTTACTACTCAAATCCTCTTTACCTCCCTTCCTCCTTCCTTTATCCGTTAAACATAATTTTTAAATGATTTTTCTCTAGGTTATATAGACGAAGGAGATCCTACATTTCAATGCTGCTACTGTGGGGCACTACTTTGGTTAAATGAAAGAGTTAAGAGAGTTGGATCAGCAACAGAACCAGTTTTCTCTATGTGCTGCTCCCATGGAAAAATTAAACTGCCCCTCCTAAAGCCTCCACATAAAATTTTGAATGACCTTTTCTTCAACAAATCATGTCCAAACTCTAAGAATTTTCTTGCAAATATTCGAGCATACAATAACATGTTCTCCTTCACTTCAATGGGAGGAAAAATTCACCATGTAATCAATTCAAGGAGGAGGACCATATGCATTTGTACTAAATGGGCAAAACTACCATACAATTGGAAGTTTGTTACCTGTAGAGGGATCAAAACCAATCTACTCACAACTATATATCTATGACACAGACAATGAAATCACCAACCGCATATCAGCTGTGAGGTAATATTCCTTTTATGCTCACCGTTAGTTACATTTATTTTTTTCCTCATACTACACAGCTTATTTCATTCATGTAATTGCAGTCGACATGAAAAATCATCCAATATTAGTCCTGAAATTGTTGCCATGATCAAAGACTGTCTTGATCAACATAACCCCTATGTAAAATAATACAGATTGGCATCTCAAATCTTACAAGAACAACAACAAACAAAATTGCGACTGCGCCTTATCAAAATTGTTCAACTGAACAGCAAACTTATAATCTCCCGACCACATCAAAAGTTGCAGCACTGATTTTGGGTGATTTTGACAGTTTATATGACAAGAGAGACATTATTGTTGAAAAGACCTGTGGCACACTTCAAAGAATACATGAGCTGCATTACTGCTACCTTCCACTGCAGTATCCATTGCTCTTTCCTTTTAGTCAAGGTGGTTACAATTCTAATGTCAAACACTGTCACAACTCATCAACCAATAGCTCAAAATATGTCAAGACAGTTACTATACGTGAATATCTTGCATATCGATTGATGAGCAGATCTCAAGAAGTTTCAGCAATACTCCATGTAAAACGACTCTGCCAACAATTTGTTGTCGATGGATTCACAAAGAATTGATTACATCAAAATACATCAACAAGAACTTCGAGTTGACTTGTATCAAGGTTTATCTGATGTACTTTTTAAAGGAGAAATAAATGCTTCAGTAACTGGAAAGAGAGTCATACTACCTTCTTCATTTACAGGTGGTGCAAGATATATGATCCAAAATTATCAAGATGCTATGGAAATTTGTCGTTGGGTAGGATACCCTGATATTTTCATAACTTTTACTTGCAATCCAGCTTGGCCTGAAATACAACGATTTTGTGCTAAAAATTCTTTACATCCATCAAATCGACCAGATATCCTTTATAGAGTTTTCAAGATGAAACTTCAGTCATTGCTACAAGTTATAAAGCAGGAGAAAATTTTTGGAAGAATTAAAGTAGGTTAGAAATTCTTACTTCACAGTCACTGTCATTTCTACTTTTCATACTATTTTATTTAAAAAGTATATTTCAATAACCATTTTGTGTAAAATATTTATGCAGAAATTTATACCATTAAATTTCAAAAGAGAGGATTGCCACATGCACATATCATTCTTTTCCTAGATCCAGCTGACAAGATCAAAGATGCTGAACATGTTGATGAGCTTATTTCTACAGAAATCCCAAACAAGAACACATCTCCTCTTCTTTATGATTTAGTTGCAAGTTACATGATCCATGGACCATGTGGTCACAGCAATCCAAGATCACCTTGTATGAAAGATGGGAAGTGTAGTAAATATTTTCCAAAGAAATTTGTTGAAGAAACTATTCTTAATGATAACGGATATCCTACATACAGGAGAAGGAATGATGGAAGAACAGTTGAAAGAAAAGGAACCCCTCTTGATAGCCGCTATGTTGTTCTATATAATCCAAGACTCCTTGAACTTTTTACAGCTCATATAAATGTTGAGAAAACAAACCAGTCAACATCTATTAAATATCTCTTCAAATATATCAGCAAAGGAAATGATCAAGTCATTGCAGGAATATACAACAACGATCAATCAGCAAATCCTCATGAAATCTTTAATGAAATTAAACACTACTATGATTTTAGATATATTTCCTCATGTGAAGCTGCTTGGAGAATTTTTGCATTTGACATTCATCATCAATATCCATCTGTTGAAAGATTGAGCTTCCATTTGCCAAATCAGCAAACAGTATTGTACAAAGGAGGTCAAACTGTGAAGGAAGTCCTGAAAAAGTCAAGAATCAAAGAATCACAATTCTTAGCATAGATGGAATACAACAAAACCAATGAAGATGCACGAGCTTTAACATATCTTGAATTCCCACATTACTATGTCTTTGACAAAAAGAAGAAGATCTGGACAAAAAGAAAGCGTGGATTTGCAGTTGGACGGATGACTCATGCATCTCCTTCTTCAAGAGAATTCTACTATCTTAGAGTCCTCTTAACTAAGGTCAAAGGCCTAAGATCATATAAAGAGATTAGAACAGTTGAAAATATTATCTATCCAACTTTCAAGTCTGCTTGTCATGCTATGGGATTACTAGAAGATGACATTGAATATATTGATGCAATCAAAGAAGCTGCAAACTGGGCATTAGGGCACTATTTGAGAAAATTCTTTGTCAGTATGCTTTTGTGCCATTGTCTCACTGATCCAAAGAATGTATGGGAAAGATCAGCTGAACTTTATTTGATGACATCTACTACACACCACATAGCAATCAAGAACTAACAGGTTTGATCTTCATTCAATCTTTCCTCAACAATTAATTTACTAACTATAATATACAACTGAATAGATTTCAAATGTTACTTCTTCTTTGACCATAAAATATCATCTACATGCAGATATTGTCTTTTCATATGCACAGAAGCAACAAGCTGCATTGTTTGAAATAAATCAATTATTACAAGCGAATGGAAAAAGCTTGACTGACTACCCTACCCTACCAAGGCTTGAAGCTCACAAGCACATTGATGTTACCAACCACCTTATCATGCACGAATTAAATGTCAACAGAGAAAATTTACAGCTCGAGAGTCAAAAGCTAATCTCCTCTTTAACTAAAGAACAGAAAACTATTTTTCATTCAATTATGTCTTCCATTGGCACTTCATCACAAGGATTCTTCTTTGTCTATGGTTATGGTGGGACTGGGAAAACATTCCTTTGGAATGCATTAATCACAACAATTCGTGCCAAAGGGCAAATTGTTTTAGCTGTCGCATCCAGTGCTATTGCAGCAACACTATTACCTTCAGGAAGAACAGCTCACTCTCGATTTGTGATTCCAATTGAGATTAATGAAGACTCCATATGTAACATCAAGCACAGTTCACCACTTGCTAACCTTCTAAGAGAAACAACTTTGATTATATGGGATGAAGCACCAATGATCAAACGACATTACATTGAAGCCTTTGATAGATCATTAAGAGACATTATGTTCATTGATGAACCATTTGGAGGCAAATGTGTTGTTATGGGAGGTGATTTTCAACAAATATTACCAGTTATTCCAAAAGGAGCCAGAGCTGATATTGTGAATGCCTCTATTAACTCTTCATACTTGTGGAATAGTTGCATAATCTTCAAACTCACAAAAAACATGCGCCTTTCTACTGCTTTGACACTTGAAACAACTGCAGAAATTAATCAGTTTGCCAATTGGTTACTTGATGTTGGTGATGGAAACTTATCACTTCCTAATGATGGCATGGCAAAGATAGAAATTCCTCCTGAGTTGTTAATTACAAAATACTACAATCCCCTCGAAGCTATAGTCAATTCCACTTATCCAGATTTGCTCCAACACTTATCTGACTCCAAATACTTCAATGATAGGGCAATTTTAGCTCCCACAATAGAAACTGTGAATCAGTTGAATGATTATATGTGCTCATTATTGCCTGGTCAATCAGTCGACTACTTCAGTGCAGATTTAGTTCCAAAAATAGAACAGGATAATGACTCCATTGACGACTTATACACAACTAAATTTCTCAATACAATCAATTGCTCTGGCTTACCTCATATAAACTCACTTTAAAGATTGGCACACCGGTTATGCTTCTACGAAATATAGATCAAGCGAGTGGATTATGCAATGGAACTCGACTACGAATCACATTCTTTGGGAAGCATGTCTTGAAAGCAACAACACTTAATGGAACAAATGCCAATAATGAGGTGCTACTCCATCGAATGGACATGAATCCTTCAGAGACAAAATTACCATTTCTTATGCAGCGAAGGCAATTTCCAATCATATTGTCATTTGCTATAACAATAAATAAAAGCCAAGGACAGTCCTTACAACATGTTAGACTCTACCTACCAAAGCCAGTCTTCTCTCATGGTCAACTATATGTTGCACTCTCAAGGGTGAAATCTAGGAAAGGACTACATATTCTCATTCATGATTCAAATCAGCAACCAAGATCAAGCACTTTAAATGTCATTTTTAAGGAGATATTCTGCAATTTAGATTCTAAATCCTTCTCTTGAGAAATAATCTACCTACCCTATCGAAGATTAGGTGACACTTCAGTTGCTTCTTCCTCAATTCGAATGAATTTCATCACTTATCAAAAACAATAACAAGCATGAAAAGAAAACAAGTTTCTATTCTCTTCAATTTTATTTATCAAGTAATATTTTCCAATTGAGCCTTCAATTTCCTTAGTCATTCTCCATTTGTTTTGAAATTTCTCAATCTTTTACTCTTCAAAAAAGACAATAAAAAAAGATAATCAATTTCATCTTTCAAAAAACAATTAATTTCCCTTCTGAAAATCAGCAAAACTTTTCCTTTAACAAAACATTACCTTTCTTCTAAATGGTTATGACATTACCTCAACAGCACAAGCAAAGCATAATTGATAGGACTGATGAATTAGCTTTTCTATTCTGACTAGATTTTCATGCTTCATTCATAGGGATGAGTCACTGTTTAGATACAATTAACATGTCTAAAAAATCTTTTCATGCTTAACATGTCTAAAAAATCTAATTCATTTGAACACCCCACAGCTATTTTCGCTTCAATAAATCATCTTTCATACTTATACAACTGTTAACAACAAACAATTGACCCTTCTTCGAATTAATTCTACAAATATTCATTTTCATTTCCTAAAATTAATTGACTCTTCTTTTAATTATTAATCAGATATTATTTTTCCCACACTTGATAGAAGAACCATTTATTAATGTCACAAAGTTCCTTTCTACTCCACATTAACTTCACTTCACCGAACAGGCCTTCAACTTTCATCCCTTCCATTTACTACATACATGACTATTTAGCGTGATGCCGACGCCATACACTCACAATATCACATTATGTTCTATCAAAAAACAACAGTGAAGGAGCATCAATTGAACCTCCCACAATATGCATTTCATTTCATACAAATTGCTGATCTAATAGGCTCGTGGGTTAATGACTCCATTGCCAAAGGTACTAAATGTTCCCACAACTAGTATTACCAAATAATATTAGCTATCCATTAGATATAGTGTAATACATTCTACTTACGACACAGATGTTTGCGCTGTGCTCAAGCGTATTAACGGACCCAAAGTGATCAAACTTAATGCCCTATATAATATTGAACTCACGTTCATCATTGAGGACAACCAGTTAAGAAGTCAAACTCAAGTTTTACAACTGTTAATTTCTCTCACAGTACAGACACAACTCATTAACATCACAAAATTTTTTTTCAAAAAATGTTCAATCCACTACGTTCTTCAAGGAAAATGCACACTGACAACTTGGAATGAATACAAGTCAACCAACAAAAAATCACCTCTCCCCTTGACCATCAACATCAATTCTTAACAATCAATGAAGAGCAAACTTCCAATTTCATCTGCAATATACTATAAACAGTGACAATATAATAATAATATTTTCTTCATATCAACACCACTATAAAAATACAATAACATCAAGAAATTAATTTACTATTCATTATCGAATCAAAGAGACAGAGATCTTTCAAACTTTAATAATTTTACAATTTAAAGTTACAAATAACATAAATTATCCGTGCAACGCACGGGGCATAACATCTAGTTTATGAAAAAAACTACAATCTCAAGCGTGCGATGTTGTACTTTGAGCCGTTGCCATGTTAACTCGCTTGTTATTTTCTTTCCTTGCGTCCTTTTCATCCAAAATAATAATAATGATAATAATAATCACATGATATTAAGCAAAAATACTTATTAACTTTTTTTCCAAAGCCACCCAATATTTTTAAGTGAAAGATGGTATAAGAGCGCCCACAACATTAATGAAGTGGATGCAAAAGTGCTCAAATAATTAAATTTGACTAATGTCGGTTAACAATAGCTTTAACGTTAAAAAAGAAAGCAAACATAAGGTATGAAAATACTTATACATTTTTTTATCTAAAAGCTTATGATACTCTAAAGTCAACAATATTATATGAGTATTCATTAACATTATAAAAGAAATTATATAGTCAAGTTCGACCTTAACAACTCAAGCTTATATGAGATCACCCAAATACCTGAATTCTAAGATATTATTTTGTTTTATTTTCTTCTTTTTTAAACATTTCAATTTTATCTTAAAAATAAAGATTTTTCAATTTTTATCTTATTTTAATTTTAATTTATTAATAATAAAAATTTTGAATATTTGGGCTAAGCCCATTTGGGCTCAAATATTTTTAGGCTTATTTAGATAACTCAAATAAGCTTGAAGTAAAAAAAATCTTAAATATTTAAAGCTGATACGAGGATTTTTTTAGATTTATTTAAGCTAATATGTTGAGCTTGACTAAATTTACTAGATTAATATTTTTTAATGTGTTAAAATAACTTAATATTGACCATAAAGTTTTAAGAATAGAATTGAATGAACTAAAAAATGTTGACTTATTTTATAAAATTAATAGGCACCTATGCATCATTATTAACTTTAAGATACCAGAAGTTTAAAAATAAAAAATTTATGAATTTGTTTGCACCTTATATTTGCTTCTTCTTCCTTTAATGGTTAACCTTAATGAATGTTAATTAAATTTAATAGTTTAAGTACTTTTATACTCACTTCATAAATATTATGAACACTTATATCTTCCTTCATCTAAGAATATCAGGTGCCCTAAAAAAAAAACAAGTGTATAAATATATTTTTTTTCTTTAACCTTGATCAAAAAGTTTTTCTAATTAAATGAGAAATAAGCTTTGTACTAGGCTCTTTTTTCAGTTTTATTTTCTAAAAAATAGAATTTAGGGGAGTCCCTTTTCTTTTTTATTTAAGAGTAAATATTAAAATCATCATAACTACAACTAAAATCACGGATCTGAACGTGTAAAACCCAACAAAGGCAATAGAATCGGTGAAAATTAGAAAGCCAACAAAGGTAGACCGGAAACATGGAGTAAAAACCTCACTCGATTCCCAACCCCTTCCTTCCTCACAAAGCTCCTCTTTTCGTGTGTCCCTATAAATAAATGCAACGCTTCATTATTGCCAGCAATCTTTGATCTTCTCTTCTCTCTTCTGACTTCCCAGTCTTCTTGCCTCTCTGTTTCATCTCCATGGCTGGCCTTCAACAGTACAATTTCTTCCCCACCGATCTCTTCTATCCTCGCCCTCCTCCTTCTGTCTCTCCCGCCGTGCTTCCTTTGCAGTCTCCGAAACAAGAAACTGCTTCTGATCTTCACCTTCAGAATCAGACCAGGAGCTTCATCAGTGTTCCTCCTTCCGCTCCTTCTGCTCTGGTCATCTCCCACAAAGCTAAATCTGCTTTTGAGGTTGAAAAGAAGCTACCGCAACTCTCTAGCGATCCACTTTCTTTGCTTTTTTGGGTTGCCGAAGACGCAGGTTTCGACGATTTTCCCAAGGACTGACCTTTTCATGTTTCCATGACTCTGTATATTAGTCAAGGGACTGATCCCACCCTTCCTTTTTGCCCCTCTGTGTTTTTGTTAATTTTCTTGCTCCAGAATTTTGTTACTTTTCTCTTAAAGATTGAGTTTTAGGTATACAGAGTGTTGAAGCGTTTACATGACGTGAAAGGTCATGAAGTGATTAATTTTATACCGGACTGGATGTTGTGGCATCGTGCCTTTAGCTTTATTCTAACTACCCTCTTCCTCTGTTTTCCCTGTTACTATTCTCCCATTTCATTAACAAGACAAGAAGACATATGGCGTACGGATCGTAACACGCGTAAGATCTTGATGCAGTGATTTTCATGATGAGATTTAGACATTTAGTATGCATATGAAGCTTACGAGTCCTGTTTTCTCTGTTCTCGTCGATAACAGAAAGATCTTTCTAGCAAATTCTATTTTTGTGCATTAACTATCTCCTTTAATCTTGAATCAAGGTAGACTTTGTTGGTTGTTCATGTGAGCCTGAGTGCATTACAGGCGTTTTGGTACCCAGTCACGGTGCTAACTGCTCAAGGATGCATATCCAATACAATACAGCATGCGGTAATACTATAAATTTTTAAAATTTTAAGATTTAAATACGAGAATATTTATAATATATATTTTAATATTTTATGTTATAAATATAAGTATTTTGATTTTTAAACAAGAATTTGTAAAATAATATAAAAATGTTTATAACAATTAACAAAATATTAAGTGTTTTTTAAGTTTTAAGTGATATAATAAAAAAATTAATGAAAAAAATTATATTATAAATATTACAATATGCGATACCTGTTGAAGTATTTTATGAATATCATATCAAATACGTATACGTTTTTTTTCTTTTTTTTTTTTTTGAATATTCATGCTTCGTAGGTTAAGAGTGCACCAGTAAAGACAATAAAGCATTGGACGAATAAGCAGGTATTCAATTAAAGATCACTTTTATGGTAAAGAATGTGCGATAAGTTTTCATAAAACAGAAGGTTCGGTCCAGCCTTCAACCAACTGCATTGAAACAAGTTTAAGAATTGAATAGAAGCATGTCAAAAACAAAAAAAAAAAAAATTGAAAACAAGAGGAGGAAAAAACAGAGTAATCTGGCGGGGGAATATTCGAGAGATATGCCATTTTCTCCCACAAACTTTGGTCTGAGGGAATTCAATCATCTAAAAGGAGTTGAATAATTCCAATATTCGGTTGAAGAGACAGTGCTTATTCGGTGGGATGACATGTGCTTCTCAAGGGTCAAATTAGAAGTTCTTCCTTCGTTTTTTTTTTTTTCCGCCAGAATGTTCTTTCTTCGTTTTATTGGTTTGAATTTTGCACAAGCTTATTATTCATAACCGACTAGAATAATCAAAGACAAATAAGCTTGACTTTCTAGAATTTTTTCCTGTCCATTCATTTTTGTTTTTTTTGGCCCGAGTTCTCACTTTGGGTCCTATAATTAACAACACACTCCTTCCGCTGTGCTTCTATTAATTAATGATGGATCCCCCCTGGCTGACTTAATCAAGCAGCTTGGAAAGGGAATTCTATAGTTTAAAATAAAATCCCCATGATTAGGTGATAAACCCATACGTGTTTGATGGCATCGCGATGCAACCAACCAAAACTAACTCAGACAAAAAATCCTTGAGTTTCTATTTATAGGACAGAATTATCTGATTCTCATGTACTTATTCTTCCCTTATATCTTGTGGGAAAGGCCAACATTGCATGCCCACCATTCCAATGAAACGTAGGGGTGATTAGGGTATCTAATCGTTAACATGCATTCAAACAAGGTATTAAGCATTTTGTTCTATGTTGGTTTTAAGTTTCATGGAAGATATGGACGACAGTGGGTTCGGAATTCAGAAAGAAAATAAAGTAAAATAAATAGCCGTGGATTTGAAGTTTAACCCAAATAATACAGTGGATATCATGAGGATAGTGTACGGTGGCAAAGCACTGAGATTAATAAGCAGAAGCGCGAAAAAGGAGAGCCACAAGTATATTCTGATGCCTTTGTAGTGTAATATGAAATAAAATATAATTAAATTTAATTTAAAATATTAAAATTATTCAATAAAAATATTTGAATAAACATATTTATCGTTTAAATTAATTTTAATTTTTTATTTTATTATTATCTTAAATATCATTATCTTTAACATTTGATTTAAATTTAAAATTTAAATTTAAATTTAAATTATTGTTATTATTTTATTATTTTTAAATTTTTATAAATAATTAAATAGAGTTAGAGTTTTTATTTACATTTAGTATTGAATATTATTAAATAAAATTTTCGAGAGTTTTAATTTTTTTTCTCTTTCTTTCTCTCTCTTCGTCCTCTCTCTCTGTTCTTTATCTTCCCCTCCCGTTTTACATCAATTTGCTTCCGTGAGATTGTTTTCTCCACCACGTTAAGGACGTGACTTCCGCAGGACACCAAGGCACAAACCACTAAATACTCATCGTGTGCGTATTCATATTTGCAACGAGGGTGGCCTTGTTGGGCTTCCTTGTGCCTGGTTTGTTCCGTTATGAATTGGACTACAAATTCTAAGTCCTTTTTTAAAAAAAGAAAAAGAACAAAGAAATGACACCTGAGACCAATAAAATAATCATATAAAGGGTAAAATCATTAGGACAGCATACACGTTACATCAGATGGCAACAGAGCATGGAAACTTGAGATTGATAGTAGAAAGAAAAAGGACTGGAGATTCAGGGGCACTTGGGTCCTCCTCTTTTGGTCTTCCAGTTATTATAGCAAGGGCAGACCTGCTTGTTGCCATAAGTACCAGGAGGCACGCACAGGCATTTTGCACAGCACTTCTGACAGAAGAACATGCATGGCTTCTTGTATTGCGTCTTTGAGCATCTCGCTGTGCAACGTGGTCCACATTCTGCATATTCATCCACAACACTCACTCATTAATTTCAATCCGTGAAACCTCCCTCTAGCTCTTGAGGGACTAATTCATTGATACTGTTATGTGATGTGATACTTACCCTGTGGCTGAAGACTGCCTTCGGTGATGCCGTGCTGAAACTCAGGGAAACAAATATGACATGAGCATTGACATTGAACAGAGAATGTGTGTGGGAAGGTTGAAAACTCAGAAGGAATGAAGATACAATTTGAGTTGAAAAATTCTCACCGTGGGAAATCTGGTTGTGTTGTTGCTGGGCTGAGGGGCTGGAGCCTCAGTGGTTGTGACAACGATCTCGGCCTGAAGCCACCGTTTTGGTATGCCACATGAGCAGAATTATCACTCCAAAGAGATATGAAAACTAGAGATGTAATTAACAGTACACACAAAATAACAACGAAGTTTATGTGCTCTATTGTATGATGATGAATTCTTCAAAGCAGGAAGCCACAGTTAATGAAAAGTGAAGCAGCTGGACAAATATAGAATTTCGGCTAGAATTTTTTTTGTCATTATAATTTGTAGTAGAAAAGAAGTTATTAGCAGGCCAACAAAGACTTGAAAACAGGGCAATGAAGCACAACCAGGAGCTCAAAACACAGTAATGGAGAGCTCAACACAAGTGATAGAGGCAACTATAAATATGGAGTATGCTTACATGGTTCTCCAAGAGAAGAAGCAACATTGTGACGAGGAAGAGCGTAACATGCTTAGTTTTCTGGCCATTGCTCACAGTGTCACTCGCACTCGGAAACAGAGAGAATTATTAGCTCGACTGTGGTCTTGAAGAACTCGCAGTTATGCGTAATAATATTTATAGACAGTTGGATAACATTCTGGCATTATTATTATTATTGGGGGATATGAAAGGTGGCACTGTGTAGCCTATCGTTTCAGATAACAAAAATCCGGCCCGTGTCTTTTCCAATAATACAATCACAGATTCTGCACACAATGTTCGTCTTTCCCTTTGAAATGACCAATCCTGCCCTTCTGGTGATATGGAGGACTGACGATTTGGATTCCTGCTTCTTAACAGTATGGTTGCATTAACTGGAAATATGAGTTTCTGTTTGAGTTGAAGCGTTATGAAACAACAAAACCAAAACAAAGTATGGGTAAGGGTGGGAAATAAGCAAAATCATAACCAGTATTGTGGGGCAATTAAAAACGAAAAGGAAAGTGCGCTAATAATTGGCGAAGGCGTTGATTGATGGGAGGTCAAGAAGGTCTCAAAAAAAATTTGAAGCCTTGAAGTTAGGGAATGATGTGGGGGTTGGGGATCATGTGAAGTGAATATGAAAAGGAGAGATGAAGAGAATCACATGGGGATTCACATGTGTGAATAGGGGCAAAGAGGGCGATAGAAGAAGAAAGAAACACCACACACACTCTTCTCAGCCTCTGTGTCTCTTTTGTCTGTGTGTACCTACCCACGGGCACGAATCCTTCTGTTGAATGAAATAGCATTCCCGTGAACTCATTTCAATCTCTCTTCTTAACTTCCAATACTTGCTTGTCCTTGCCCTCCACCCTTTTTTATTCAAACCAAGGCCATGAGAGGCAACATAATGAAAAAGGTAATATTGATACTTAAGAAAAAGAATATAGAAGAATACCAAAAAGCACATTCAATCAAGTTATTAACTGAATATAATCAAAGATTTATTTATTGATAAATCACAGAAATATATTATAATCCATGTAACCTAATGTAATAAGAAGTTTATTGTTTTTGTATTTTTCATTGCCAGTGAAATCAAGACCTACTCAATCTGTAATATTACTTATCATATATATATATATATATATATTCTGTATAAAATGTGCAGGAAGCCACATACTGTTATATTCTTTGTTCCCGTTAAGCTCTTATTTGAAAATTCTGTATTCCGCTCAACTATTTCACTGAGACAAAGGTAGCAGTAGCATTACTATTATACTATGTGTTGGTCCCTTTTTTTTTTCACGGATATAAAATGTGGACAGGAGTTAGCCTTCCCTAGCAACATGTGAGAGGGGGAGGGAGGTTGGGTATTCAGTTTGTTCTGTTGGTTCTCTCGTGAGCTATAGTATCTGTTTCAATTCGGTACGTTCTGAGGCCTCGACAGGATGTTAGCATTTCTTAATTTTATATATTGTTATTTTCTAAAGGCACTTCACTTGCACAGGTATGACATAGCCCTTCCTGTAAAAACTAATGCAGCAATGGTTCACATTACATGTTGACGTATACAATGATGTATCATTTTTTAGTCATTGTTTTTTCCCCAACATTTTATTAGTGAAAGTTAAAAATACTATAAAATCTTACGGTTCCAGTGAAAAACGGGATCACCTATTTTGCCATCACAGATAGAAGTGTATGGATGCAAAAATTTGCTGGTTTAAGCAACAATTTTTTACCCCACAACAAATCAATCAAATTAAAAGAAAACAACCCTATAGATCATATGTTCAAGCAAAAGAATTTACAAATTGGAGGATCAAATCAAAATCAGTAGGCTGTTTTTCCAGAAAAGTGAAAAACTGCTGAATAGTGAATATACCACGCCTGAACGTTGAAACACATCCATAGTTGAATCAGCGAGGAACCAATATGAAGAATGCTCAATAATCCTTCATGAAATGCTAGCCAAAAGGATCATCTCACTCGTTAACAAGAAAGAACAGCCAGTTTTGATGAAGTGGAATCAGACGCCTAGATGAGACCATTATCATTTGAAGCATGCAACAAGTGAATCATGGCAAAGGCGCCAATACTCTTGATAGGGCAAGGACATCCAAGGCATCGGTGAAGGAAGAAGAGTTCCCCGTCTGTATGGTATTCTGATCAAGGATTCAATTCAAAAATAAAGAATTCAGGCGAATAGTAAAGAGTAACAAAATGCGAATAACTTAACGAAACAACATCTCACCTTCGACCAATGAGGATTCCATGTGCTACTAAGGAAATGGATGACGCAGAAAACCCCAGAAAAATATTTTTGTAGTGAGGCCAGATAACTTTTCCTGAAAAGAACAGACAAAATGCTAACTGTTAGGTGACTATCATAACCATGAAGAGGACTTTTACCCTCTGTTTGGAATAAGAAGAAAACAGAGAGGAGAAAAAAGTTTTTTTTTTTTGGGGGGGGGGGGGGAGCACTTCCCCTAGCATGAAGTTTTTCTTCTAGTTTTCCCCTCTATGGGGAAATTAGGGAAAAGTAAAGGCAGAAAATGTCTTTTTCCTCTAGTTTTCTCCCTTAATTTTCTCTCTTTCCAATTTTCTTCCCATTCCAAACAAAGCCTAAATATCATATTACAATTGCATTTCAGTCAGTGTTTTCAAATTTCATGTTCATGAAATGCTGGATGAAGTGTCTATGACATATTCAGTAAGATTCACCTTGTCATGCAAACAAGCAGAGACCGCCTTTGAATTAGGAAATTACCACAACTAGAAGTAATGATCAATCAGATCATGACCGCCAGCTTTGCCAACAAACACACTGTTACTTGTATTACACTATAATAATACATTTCCAGGGTCTTTAAGTAAAAGGCCCCAGTTAACTGAAAGCAACCACAAAAAGTCTACATATCGGGCACACATTCTCAAATGTTTGCTTTAATATTAATTAAAACTCACGTACATCACCTAGCAGCATAAAAAAGAAATTAAACCCGACAGAAGCATCAATCTAAGTCCACAAGTGATAGCTCCAAGCCTTACCTATGCTCAAGTAGTTACTTCGGAGAGCTGAAACTAGAATGCTAGATTTTTTTCCACTAAAATTCTTTAGCAGCAATTCTTCCTTGGAAGAAGTCAGTGCATCAGTAAAATCAACCTTTGGAGAAATATTACCAGTACTTTGACAACCTAAAATTTCAAACCATATTCCAGAAGGGAATCTTCCTGGACACACCAACCGAAGAAAAAACTTGATATAAGGTGTTGCGTGAATTACTGAAATGGCAACTTCAATTGATATACAGATGAGGTTCATCATTGTGTCCACTATACTAAAAAATATATAGAAAACAGAAGTGGTTGGTAGCAGAAGTAAGAGGGGTGTAAATAGAAGGGATCCAATGATATGTTGTTTGACAGTGTAATCAAAGCTGTCCAACCTCTGACGAAGTGGATTCCACTTCCGGCCCCTGTGAAAAGATCAGCAACTCAGTGGGGAAAAAAAAAGAGGGAAATAAAAAAGAGCATGTAAGCATGTCTGAATGTGTAATTGCACGTATGAAATTGTATATACTATTCTTAAAAGAAACTTAATCACAAATAGAGCATAACTGAAGAAAATATAATGATTTCCATAAAATGAAAAGGACTTATTGGCAAATGTTCCATTTTCTTAACAGCACAACTAGCTCTTTCTCCCTGAACCCAATACTAGCTTTTTCAGAAATATATTGTGGTGAAGATTATCAAGCAATAAGAACAGGGTTAACAAAACCCATGCTTAAAAAGTCAGATGATGCCAAAAGAGACGACCTCAGTTACATCTATTTGAGCAGTGATTGTATCTTTTGACCAAAACTTGTGTTGTGCAAACATTAAGAGCTAAGGTGGAAGTCTAGTTGTCGAACCCAATCATGCTAGCCAGTTTCTTCTATAATTCAAAGAACAGTTATATTTAAATAATTATGTGCATTTTTTTTTTTTTGGGAAACTTGTGCATTTCTCGTTCTAATCACTAACTTGTATTCACACAACCATCTCAATGGAAAAAAAACAGGGGGAAGGGAGGAGGAAACTCCTACCTAAAGAGCCGCCACAAGGCTGTCACTGCCTGTATCTGTAAAGAATATAGAAGTGAAATCAACCAATAAAGGGTTGAAACATGAGAAGTTGCTAACACAACCATGTCTATAATCAAGGCAGCAGGTAGAGTGAACCCACAAAAAATCCCTATAATAGCAAGCCCTTGAATAATATAATTTAAGACAAAACCCACAAAAATCCAGAGTGTTGACCATATCTGTATTGCATTCAGAGAAACCATGCCCAATACTCCAGCCAGTTCAGCATTCAACTTGAAGCCTGCAGGGTTTCCCATTAACCAAACACACCCTGAGCGCAGAAAAGGGTTTGCAATGTCATGCACAAATGTCAAAACTGACAAACAAATGGATTCTGCATGACATAGCAGTGCCCAACCAATCACGTTTCCCAGGAGAACATCAACAACCAAAGTTGACCACATGGAATGCCTGTGCATAGCAGCTTTCTCTGCATACTCAACACATGATCGTGACCTAGCACACAAAGAATGATGTTAAAAAAAAAGGAGAAAACACAGAATCAATATCCAAAGATGATGGCCAGAAGGTCAGTGATCACTTCAACTAAAGAAAACTTATTCATAATAGTGTTACACTTAATTCGTCATAATAAAAAACATTCCACCATGTGTGAAGGGGAACACACATTATGTTTTCAATCATGTTTGCAACTTCAATCAAAGAAAATTTTTTCAAAGTGAAATCATGTAACAAGAATTTGTCCTCTAAAAGCAGGTTAAAAAAAGACTGAAAGTGAAAAAAATTATAGTAAGCCAAAGTAAATTATAATTTAGATCCCAGAGATAGTAGAGTGCAAGCTAAAAGTAAATGCATTTAATAAATTTTATCAATGATTAAAGCCTGCTATTGTGACAGGCCTGAGGTAATGAACCCACTTTGACTAAGGTTTATACCTGTAAAAAACAAGAAATATGAAGATTGGTTTGAATGAGCTACTGGTTCTCTAAGCCTATTATTGAGCACATGTATTCTAGAAAGAAGATGTCAGTAGGGGCAAAAAGAGGGAAATGTAGTGGAGCAATTAATTCTGGTGCCTGCTGCTTGGTGTGGGTGAGGTGGATAGAGGGTATTTGAAAAAGCGTCCCTGGTATCAATATGAGGGTGTAGATGATTTTGATCAGAGAATCCCAGGAGTGGCTAGCCTTTCAAATGCTAGACAGCCTCCTATTACAGTTACTCTGTGTTTTCTATCTGTATTGCTACCATTGCTGGTGCTGCATGAGTATTTCT